TCCCCCCACATCTTAGTGTCATCAGCAAATTTGAACAGGGTGCTTTTTACCCCCTCATCCAAATCACTGATGAAGATGTTGAACAGCGCGGCCCCGAGGACCGAGCCCTGCGGAACCCCACTGCCCACGTCCTTCCAGGTTGAGAAGGACCCATCCACTACCACCCTCTGGGTGCGGCCCTCCAGCCAGTTGGTGACCCATTTGACTGTGTGGGTGTTGACACCACAGTCCCCTAGTTTCTTAATGAGAACGGGGTGAGAGACAGTGTCAAAAGCCTTCCGGAAGTCCAGGAAGACTATGTCCACTGCTACCCCTGCATCTAATGATTTGGTGATCTGATCGTAAAAGGCCACCAGGTTGGTCTGACAGGACCTGCCACTGATGAACCCGTGTTGGTTGCCTCTAAGCAAATACAGACACACCCGCACCTATTTGCTTTTTTAATTTGCTTTCAGAACCTCGAGGTGCACTTTCACAGAAACCCCTGCACCACTCTGCCTGAAACCTGGCAGGCCTCATGCCCGCACAAGGGGCTACCATCCCTGCTGCATTAGCATATGCTCTGCCTTAACACACACAAGTGATATGAGTTTTGCTTTCAACAGTTTGAGGTGCACTTTCACAGAAACCTCTTCACCTATCTCCTTGAAACTTGGCAGGCTTCATGCCGCCAGAAAGGGCAACCATCCCTGCTGCTTTCATCTGAATCTGCAAAAAAATGAAAAAGTTATATGTCTTTTAGTGATTCCCCATTATAGTTTATGGCCAAATCTCCAAATTGGCACTGAACCTCTGAATCCAAATCGGCGAAATCGAACCAGGACAGTGATTCGAATCACCGAATCAAATCACTGTCTCTCCAAATCAGCCAAATCCAAATCTGAATTGAATACTTGCTGCTTCACACCAGCCCAGTATAATTTCCCTTGAAATTTGTCTAGCTAGTGGGATGCAGAGCAAGGGGCACTACAGCACCCTGACTCTATTTGCAGCATGCTTGAATCAGGAGTGGGGACAGAGGAAGCTAAAAGCTCCTGGTGGGACCCATATTGGGGCCTATGAATGGACATGCAGTTCACTGGAGCCCTGGCAAGCCAGGACTATGCAGCTCCCAACAAGCTAACTGAAAAAGAGGCCACTCCGACTTTATGAGAAAAAAATACGGTTACATTTGGGATCTGAGAGACAGTGCAATTTAGGGAAGCCCTGTTAGATTCAAACTCCATCCAGGCCCCAGAACCTGCTAACATTTATGTCTATATTGCATTTCAATGTTCATAATGTTATATCTGCCTCTTTGCAGGACTGTGGCTGTTTCATCTGTGGTCTCACAGCTGTTGGACATTACTCTCCTACCTCTGCCTCCATCTTGCACCTGCTTGCTTTTTGCATCTCTCCTGATTGATTCTGCCACTGGTCTGAATATCTGTGGTATGCTGTTTTCAGCTTTCTTCGACTCTCATTTCACCACACTGGTCCCAGAGGTAAGGAAAGCCCAGTTTGCCAATGCAGAAGTCTTTCAACCTTTACATTTCTCTTAATTTACAAAGATCTTAAAACTTGAAGAAGCTGGTTTGTAATTAAAAAACAAAAACAACCCCCCCCCCCCCAAAAAAAAAAAAGG